TTTGAAAAACGTTTTTTAAAAAATCACTTTTCAAAACAAGCAAATTTTAGAATTTAGAAGTTTGACCATAAAAGTAAAGAAAATCTATTCATTCTCTATCCCACTGTTTAGTGGTGAAGATAGTAAAAATCTCCTATTAGTTTTAGCGATGAACCTGAAAAAATTAGTCGCAGTAACAACAAAGTGTGTTAAAGAAATACAAAAGAAAACAAAATTTGACCTTTTCAAATATTAACTATTTAGCATAATAAAAGATATTTAAATACATGTAGCCGCGTTTACACGTAAAAGTGAAGATCATTAATATACCCAGTAGACTTATGGCTCATTTGGTGCCAACCCTAGGACTTCAGGCTTGGCCGCTTGGGGACAACAGCCATGGACGAATATATATAGCTAACGAGGGAGTAGCTAGGGTATTAAGCACGGGTTGGGTTCGGACGAATTTAATAGCTTTTGTTAGAATACTTGATTTTTATTAAAAAATTTACTATATATATATATATATATATATATATATAAGTGTGAATTGTGGGTTCGGTGATAAATTCAAATTCTGGATAAGAGTCAAATAAGCCTACTAAAGAGGATAAAAGACTCTTGTAATTTTTAGAGGTTAGAATTCGAGGCCTCTAATAAATGTGAAAAAATTATAATCATCTCGGCCATCACTTTTAAGAAGGCGTTCTTACAACATGCAAATTGCGTACCAAGTTGTTCTCGCATCCCCTGCCTATGCATGTCTCTAACTTTAATATTTCGCGTTATTATGTAAAAATACTTCTAAAAATAAAACAACTAATTTTCTTTCATTGAGTGGTCTGTTATAGGTTTTCATATTTTTCCCATCGGTTGGATAAGTTTTTCTGAATTTGGATGTAATTTTGTCACATCATAGCAAAACAAGACTATAAACCTATTTGGGCTAATTCTATTTCTCCTCAACAGTCAACTCAACCTGCCCCTCTTAGAGCCCGTTTGGCCATGAAAATTTTTCACCTTTTTTCCAAAAATTTGCACCTTTTTTTTCGAAATTAGTGTTTGGCTATAAAATTTTCAATTTTCGCTTGAAAATGAATTTTGGAATTTTTCGAAAATTTGAAAAAACTCCAAAAAGCTATTTTTTCAAATTTTCACTCAAAACACTCACAAAAATTCAAAAAAAATCCGAAATTATATTTATGTCCAAACACAAATTTTCAAATGTATTTTCACTTGAATTTTTTTTACTTTTTTTCGAAATTTTACAATTCTTATGTCCAAACGCATGCTTAAAGTCTGAACTTTCCTTTCGACAAATAATTTCAGGCCCATCAACGGTTTTGGGCTTTTCTTTTGCAAATTCTAACTTCTAAGCATATTGACCCAGCAGTTTCAGGCGGGAAAAATTTAAAAATAACCAGATTTATAAGTGGTCATTCAAAAATAGTTACAGTTTCAACAGTAATCGAAATTTAGCCACTTTTCATGTAAAGATAAATTTGAACGAAAACACTGTTTAAAATTCGGAAAAATTCTCCAGCATAATATACTGGAGTTCCAGTATAATATACCAGTCCAACATAATATACTGGAAGTTCATACACAGATGCACCGAACTCCAGTATATTATGCTGGACCGGTCTCAATTGCAGCAAAATAATGGTTATTTTTCATTGACTTGACAAAACACTGACTATTTTTGAATGACCAATCAAAAACTGGCTAGACCATGCTATTTTAACGTTCCAGGCCTACTCTCACTCTCTAGAGATACGACTCAGCCTCAAGGGGCATTTGCACAAATGGCCTTTTTTTTTGATAAAAAAAATTCCTCTGTTTAAAATTTAACTCCATTAACTAAGTCGGCTGAGTTTGTTTGTAAAAAGAAAGTTCATCTTACTAATTTTAAAGTTGAAATTCATCCCACTGAGCTAACGGAGATAGAATTTAAAGTGTGTCATTAGAAAAGGCCATATGATGCAAATAATGGATTATATATGGTTTTGAGCATCTTTATTCTCTGATCTGTAAAAATTGCATGGGGCGCCCTATTTGGTCTTCCCCATTTAACCTATACCTATTTTTTTAAAAAAGTTTTAACTTGTATCCATTTTTTAAACAACTTCAGCCCCCGTTCTCCTCCCCCTTCTCCTCCCCCTTCTCCTCCTTCGTTTTCTTCTTCTTCTCCTTCTTTCTTATGCTGTTGTTGGTGCTGCTATAAAACTTCAGTTCATGGGATGATTGCCAAAAGTATGTTTATCAGATTATTTAAAAATAAATTATAAATAATTACGTAAGTTAGTAGACAATAATTTGTAAATATTTTCACGTAATTCTATTCTTTTCACGTTTATTGTTTCCCAAATTTATGATTTAGATACTGTTGGTAATCTGATTATTTTATAGTAGTAATACACTATAAAAGAATAAGGTGATTATTTATCTAGTATGTTAGAAAGCTTTTTCAAAAACTTCAGCTTATATAGTGCTAAAGTATTTACAAATGAACTAAATAACTTCAGCATCTTCTGCTGAAATTTTTGAAAAAGCTTTATAACAAAACTAATGAATCCAGGACAAAAAACTTCAGCTATTTTAGTGCTGAAATTTTTACAAATGAACTAAATAACTTCAGCATCTTCTGCTGAAATTTTTGAAAAAGCTTTATAACAAAACTAATGAATCCAGGACAAAAAACTTCAGCTATTTTAGTGCTGAAATTTTTACAAATGAACTAAATAACTTCAACATCTTATCCAGGACAAAAAAACTTCAGCGTATTGCCTTTGCTACTTCAGGCCCGTCTACTAGAATGCTGAAGTTTTGCGTGATTGCCTTTGCTACTTCAGCCCCGTATGTTGAAGTTACGCGAAAAAGTGGGTACGATTGCAATTTTTTTTGCAAAGCGGGCACAAGTTAAAACGTTACCCAAAAAGCGGGTATAGATGCAAATCTCCTTCCGATCTCCAGGTATCAGAAGGGAAAAATCCCACTCATCCCATGTTTACTCCAAATAATATAGGAAAAATATAAAACTGGCCGGTCGATTGAAACTAATAGCATTCGCTAGTCAAAAAATATGTACATTATATATATAAAATAAATATATATACAAAAAAATTATTTTATCAGCTATTATTTTTGAAAGCAGCTAAAATTATATATTAGAATATAAGGGTCTGAGTTTAATCATGCATCTTGAAGAGTCACATGGCGTTAGCTGTCTTCTCATGCTCACATTACTCTCTGCTTATTCTAATTCCTCTGCAACGATGAAATGAAGCTTCGCACCGTAATCTTTTGTAATTTGGCTTATACAAAGTCCTGTAACGCTCCACGTAAAAGAATAGGATCATGTTGACCCAAAGTTCATAGGAAATTTCTATATCTAGTTAAGCAAATTACTATTAAAATTATGCGTTATTTATCTCTATATCTAGTTAAGCAAGTAACCAATGAAATTACATGTTATTTACCAATCCACTTTCCTTTAGATCAGCTCGAAAAGAGGGATACAACACGAAGACTTTCGAGAGAGTCACTCGTCTTAGTACTACTTTCGCCTAAGTGCGCTTAATTCGGAGTTTTGAAATTTGATGCGTTAGTGCTGATATGATTGCATCCCTGCTAGAAATTGTACTTATAGATTGAAATCACAAGCCTTTTAGTAACGGGATTTAACTTCATTAATAATGAGTTGGTAACCCAATTAATTGTTTTTTTAGTGTATCTGATCGGAATCTATCCTAAATTAATCTCTTGAAACATTGATTAAGTTACAAGTGTGTCGGTTGTGGCTAACCAATGATTCAAAATTAGTCCAAATATGCACCCGTGAATTGGTTAATTCTCTTGTCGTTCACCTATTACATGCTTCCAACTTCCGTGGCCACAAGTTACTACAAGACAATATAGAGTCACGAGTCCTCTTTTTTCTGCTTTGCTTCTTTGCTGTAACGTCCAAAACCATATTCACCAATTTATTAATCTATGGTTTCATTTTCTTATTTTCCTTTTCTAAATTTAATCTATGAACATAACTTATGAATTTTGTGACAAGTTAGAATTCATAAACTTTAAATCTTAATTATTCTTCCAGAGGCTGATCTAGCATGTGTTCAATGGGTTTACGTGAATTCACTAGCTTTTGTCAATAGCATAAGCAAATTTAAGCTATATTTATGGTGCAGGTGAAATCCGTGGTATTTTCGCCAATGTATGTATTTTATGTAGATATTTTATAAAATTAATCTTATATTATATGTTGTTCTCCATGCTACAAAAATATTGAATGGTGTACTCGGTTGAATGTTGAGGTATTTATCCTAAGAATAGGGATCAATCTCCACTTATTACCTTTTTTTCTCCTTTTTTTTAGTAGTGCACTCATGTTTAAGAAATAGTCTAAATATCTACAAATATTTATTTGTGAATCTAGTTATTAATATATATTAAATTAAAATCGTTATAGGAACACATCCACTTCAAATACTGGATCCATCAACCCCTCTACCACCCAAATAAACACTTCTAAATTCCCCATTTCTTTCTACTCCACTCCCCCACCATATTAATGCAACTCTTTTTTCTCTCTTTTTTTTTTTAAATCTCAACTTTGAATCTCTATTTCTTGTACTGTCAAAATCTACTTAACTATTTGTAAATGCTGTCTTTTTAAGTATGTAGGTAATTTTCTTTTCCTAAGGTTACTGATATATAAACTCACGAGAGTGGGCAGGAAACAAAAGAGAAAGAGGAAAACGTGGCAAAAATATAGTGGTAGTAGTGGGACCCACTAGTCAAACAACCAAGAGTCTTCACATATTGTTGTAAAAATTTCTCAATCTCAAAACCCCAATTTTAGTTATGTTCTCCCGTGAAATAGAACCATTCTTGTAGACAACGACTGATTGATCAACCTAAACTTGCCACGTGTTTCCAACTCTCAACTTTACGAACCCCTTTTTCACTATAAATTTACAGCCTCAACTTCATATGATTCTTGTGTCTTGCCACATAAAAAAAACACACACACACACAAAAATAACACTATAGTACGATAAAGTTTTTTTTGGCTCCTTTAATATTTTCTCAATTCCCACCTTCAATGGAGATACTTCGCTTATTATGGTTTACTATTATGTTGTTATTCTTTAGTCATTTAATCAATGTAGAAGGAAGACATCATTTTTCCAAGAAACCAAAGAGCAAAAATATTAGTTATGCTCCTAGTCCTGTTGATGTTCATGTTGATGAACAACCACCAGCTTCTTCTCCTGCTAGTAATGTTGTTCCGTCGGACCCGAGTTACGGAGGTCCTGCTGGTTCGACTAATTCAGATTCTGGTTGCGTTTTCGACGTGACTGAGTATGGAGCCATAGGAGATGGCTCAACGGATGACACTGATGCATTCAGAGCTGCTTGGAAAGAAGCATGTCAAGTTGAATCAGCTGTGGTTTTAGCTCCAGCTGACCATGTTTTTATGATCACTTCTACCATTTTCTCTGGCCCTTGTAAACCTGGACTTGAATTTCAAGTAAGAACATATATTTATGTTTTCTTTTTCCTTTTCTTTCTTAATAATTTCTTTAAAAAAATTCTCTACTCTCTCTGATGTTGGACGGGGGACTAAAAGTAATAGCGTGCCAGAAATTTTAGTAAGGGAATTCAAAAATTTATATAAATATGAAAAAATTATTTTTGCACTATTTGTGCAGTACGATTTTTGAACGAAGGAGATTCAATTGAGTCACTTTATTTCCTGTGGCAGAGGTAGAAGCCATAGTTTGATACAATATGAGATTTTAAGTTATAGTTATTTATACTTTCTCATTTATTTTTTGTAAGTAGATATTTTGTTCAATATTGTTTTTATTTTTTTAGGGTCATAGCTAAACGGCATTTTCTTTCCAGCAAAAAAAGAATCTAATATTTGTTTCTTTAACTGACATATATATTAAAATGTCTATTGGTTATAATATTCCTTTTTGAATGTATATATTTCATATTCTTCAATTATTCCTACAATTTGTATATTTAAACTTTTAAAAAATTAACATCTTTTAATTTCTCCCGAAAATTTTGAAATTTAAAGTCAAATGCAAAACTCAATTTGAGAAAATAAAGGTGTATACAATAAGTAATTTTGTTCTTTGCATGTTATAAATAGGTAAATGGGATCCTAATGCCACCAGATGGACCAGATTGTTGGCCAAAAGAAGATAGTAACAAGCAATGGCTTGTGTTTTACCGACTTGATAATATGACTTTTACCGGCACTGGTACTATTGAAGGTAACGGTGAAAAATGGTGGGAATTACCTTGCAAACCTCATAGGGTAAGTCTTTTTTCCTCTATTTATTTTTTGGTTCATTTTTAGTTTAAAAAAAAGAAGAAGAAGAGACAAGTTTAAAAGGTTCCGTGATAATATTAGTGTCTTTCTCTCTGTCTCTTTGTCTCTCTTTCTAATTGGATTAATTCAATTTATGTCATTTTTCATCGGTTCAAAAATAGAATTTAAATTATATGCAATCATAATTTGAGTTGTTGTACAAGTTACTTATCATTTATCAAAGACTAACAATTAATGTTACATAATATAGTTACGTGCAATTATTTTTTAACTGACCTAATTGTGTAAATATTTTTTTAATCATCAATGCACATAACTTAAATACTAAAAAAATACTAGTAGTATATTAATAAGCATAGAGTTAGATGATTCTCGTGAATGTTAGTTCTTATGGTAATTAATAAAATTCCATTTGTCATTTTTCAGGGACCTAATGGCTCAACTTTACCTGGACCATGTGATAGCCCTGCTGTAAGCTAGCCCACTTCCTCTCTCTTCTCAAATGATACTTCTTTGGTTTGGTTTGTAATATTAATTATGATATATACAACAACAATTTTAGTGTATTCTCACAAGATTAATTCCAATATAAAATTTAAAATTATATTTATCTCATGTTTAATTACTGATGTTAATTAAAATCGATATAAGTTTTATATTAAAATCTTAGTATTACATCTAATTCTACTTGTTCCGAACCAAACGACCCCTTTAAGTGTTTTTTGTTTTAATTTAAAATTTTCATAATGTAACTTTTGTTTGTATGAATATTTTTGGCAGATGATAAGGTTTTTCATGAGCTCAAATTTGGTGGTGAGAGGTTTAAGAATACAAAACAGTCCAATGTTCCACATGAAATTTGATGGGTGTGAAGGAGTATTAATTGACCAATTGTCAATTTCTTCCCCTAAACTTAGCCCAAACACCGATGGAATTCACATTGAGAACACCAAGTCCGTGGGAATCTACAACTCCGTTATAGCCAATGGTACATAATTAACCATAACTCTTTCTCTCTCTTAGCTTTTTCTTCCTATAAACTTACTCCTTTGATGTTCATATCAAATTAATAGTAAAATGACATATTTTCTGCATATAAATATCATGTTATTATTATTAGTATAAACGTTGGTTGACGGTTCGGTTTATCTTACACCGTCAAGTCGGTGATCAGAAGCGAAGCTAGCCTATAAGTGCGAATTCGGCCGGATCGAATCACTTTTGCTTAAATATTATATTTGTATTAAAAATTTATTATATATATATATATATAATAAATTCAATTACGAATTCAATAATTAGAACGAGTTATGAATTTTATGGTAAATTTAAAATCCATAAATTTCAAATTTTGATTCCGCATGGATCGGTGATGCCATTTATTAATGTTTTTTAAAATGAAATCTGGTTTTATCAGGCGATGATTGTATATCAATTGGACCTGGCAGTTCAAACGTTGATATTGAAGCCGTCACATGTGGGCCCAGTCACGGGATCAGGTACTTTTTCTGTTTCTAATTTTTTCGTGGGAACTTGACCTACTGTCCTTACCCTCAATTTATGAATTAAATAACAGAAAGCTGAATCTTATTTTTCTAATAAGGACAAGATTTGTCTTTTTCATCTTCTTAATTAAAAAATCATGTCATTGGGATGCATCACAAGACTATAATATATCAAACCTCTCTTTTTCTTTCCTTTTTCTCCACCAAGCTATTTTGAGTTGTTAGTTTCTAAAAAATTAATTATGTATATTTACCTTTAGTTTTTTTTTTAAAAAAATTTAAAGAAAAAGATTTGCAAAAGACATGCTCCTTCCATTTTTCATTCGTCATGGAGTATTTATATTTTAAAATATAATGGATCTTTATACAAATAGCCGGTCGAATTTATTGTCTGCTTTTTCTAGCCTATATACGTAGATTATACTTAAATAACCGCTTACACTAGCCCCTAAACTTAAAATAGTCGACATATATATGTATATAATTATGTATGATCATTGTATAATCTATGTATACTGGCTAGAAAAAGTAAACAGTAAATTCGACCGGCTATTTGTGTAAAGACACCTTATATTTTTGAAATAATTTTCAAAAAGTGGAATACTTTCATTTTCATTTGCTNATATATAATATATTGTGACAGAGTGGTCAACTGCCTCTAATAACCAACCACCTTTCGACATAGATAGCTACGCCTCTGGCTCAAATAATCGCGTATTTTTGGTGCAGCATTGGGAGCCTAGGGGTGCACCATAGCCAGGCATGTGTATCAAACATAACAGTCCGGAACGCCATAATACGAGACTCAGACAACGGAGTAAGAATAAAAACATGGCAAGGAGGATCAGGATCAGTAACAGGATTATCATTCGACACAATTCAAATGGAAAATGTGCGCAACTGCATAATCATAGACCAATATTACTGCATGACAAAAGGCTGTCAAAACGAAACATCTGCAGTTTGTGTTAAAGACATCTCGTACAGGAACATTAAAGGCACGTACGATGTTAGAAGTGCTCCAATTCACTTTGCCTGTAGTGATACCATTGCCTGTACTAATATTACAATGTCTGAAGTTGAACTTCTTCCACACGAAGGCGAGCTTGTCGATGATCCTTTCTGTTGGAACGCGTATGGGATTCAACAAACGTTAACGATACCTCCAATTGATTGTTTACAAGATGGAATGCCTCAGTCAATTGGTGAGGATGCATATACCTGCAGCTGATGATCGATCGAGGAGTTCACTTTACTAGTAGTACTATTTTTGTTTAGTTATATATAGCTTTATTTTATAAGCTATTTTTTGTAGGTCATTTTGCTATATAGTTTACTAGTCTCCATCCCAGTCGGGGTTAGTGTCCCTGTGTGATGATGATAATACTAGTTGTAACAGATATATATGGTCTATTTTATTGACCTGTTTTCTGTACTAGAGAGTGAAATGAAATGTCTACTAATAAAATCATTTATTAAAGAGCTTCTTTATCCATCATTTCCGTTACAATTTCCAAATAATAGCTGCTAGAAACTGTGTAGCAGAGTGGATGGATTATTCATATTTTCTCCAAATGCTAAATGCCTCGGAATTTAACTACCATATATGATGAGATTAACTGTTGTGGTAAAAAAGGAAACTAAGGTTTATGTGTGGATAAAACATCCTCATCAACCATATAAATTTTAAACTACAGAAGCAACGGACAAGCATATAAAGGGAATAAGATGAAAGAAAGAAAACAGACAAATGCAAAGAGAGAGATAGTTAAGCTTTACCATAGAGATATGCTCCTTTGTCTGCAGGGACGACAAATAACACAAAATCTAACAGTTGAATTACAAAGGATAAGGTTTGGCTTGATACTCACAGTTAAAAAATTGAATGATGAAATTGCAGGGGTCTGAAGGAGAAATGATCAACTTTTCCTCTAGCCTGTTGCGCAATCCATAAGTTACAAGATGCAACTCTTTGCCTTTAAAATCTTCACTTCCATAGAAAAATTTTCAACATAGTCATGTTCTTTTATTAGGATTTCCTCACCCCAGTCCTTTGCACAATACCTGCACACATTTCTGTTAGGACCGAAAAATCAGGTGTCATGCAGAAGCTAGCAAAGCAAACCTTGAGCGACGATAAATTATACAACAAAGGAGAAATATACCAAAAGAAACACAAACATTTAACGTGGTTCGGTCAACTGACCTACATCCTCAGCGAAGATGAGCAATCCACTATATAAAAAGAGAGTACAAAATATCGAGAGAACAACCTCACGAAGAGGCAAACACAAGTGATACACTAACACTTGCCCCGTAAAGTTCTCTCCCCTAAATACTACTCTCAAGCCCCTATGGCTACATTGTGGATGCTACTGAATGAGAAGGAGGGATCTTCAATTTATATATAGAACTCCAAACCTTTTCCTACAAGAAAAAAGGACTAGCGAAACATAGGAGAATTATAATTTCTTTCTACAAAAAGGAAAACCCAATTAAGGTAATTATATTGCCCTTTCCTTTAACAAATAGGAAAATCAAATATGGTAAGAAAATTATGGCAAACACCTAACAATTCTCCCCTTTAGCCAGAATTTTCTGACAAAATAAACTTGATCCACCTTCTTCACATAGCCTTCAACAGGTTGCATCTCCAAATCTCCACCACAAAGTTTGTCTCAACGTGCGTAGCACACTGGTCAAATTTCTCAGAAAAAATCACGATTATCGTCAAATATGTTGCGGCTAGAATTAAACCCGCTAAGATGAACCTGTCTTAACCTCGCTCTGATTCCACTTGTTAGGACCGAAAAATCAGGTGTCATGCAGAAGCTAGCAAAGCAAACCTTGAGCGACGATAAATTATACAACAAAGGAGAAATATACCAAAAGAAACACAAACATTTAACGTGGTTCGGTCAACTGACCTACATCCTCAGCGAAGATGAGCAATCCACTATATAAAAAGAGAGTACAAAATATCGAGAGAACAACCTCACGAAGAGGCAAACACAAGTGATACACTAACACTTGCCCCGTAAAGTTCTCTCCCCTAAATACTACTCTCAAGCCCCTATGGCTACATTGTGGATGCTACTGAATGAGAAGGAGGGATCTTCAATTTATATATAGAACTCCAAACCTTTTCCTACAAGAAAAAAGGACTAGCGAAACATAGGAGAATTATAATTTCTTTCTACAAAAAGGAAAACCCAATTAAGGTAATTATATTGCCCTTTCCTTTAACAAATAGGAAAATCAAATATGGTAAGAAAATTATGGCAAACACCTAACAATTCTCCCCTTTAGCCAGAATTTTCTGACAAAATAAACTTGATCCACCTTCTTCACATAGCCTTCAACAGGTTGCATCTCCACATCTCCACCACAAAGTTTGTCTCAACGTGCGTAGCACACTGGTCAAATTTCTCAGAAAAAATCACGATTATCGTCAAATATGTTGCGGCTAGAATTAAACCCGCTAAGATGAACCTGTCTTAACCTCGCTCTGATTCCACTTGTTAGGACCAAAAAATCAGGTGTCATGCAGAAGCTAGCAAAGCAAACCTTGAGCGACGATAAATCATACAACAAAGGAGAAATATACCAAAAAAGACACAAATATTTAACGTGGTTCGGTCAACTAACCTACATCCACGGGGGAGATGAGCAATCCACTATATAAAAAGAGAGTACAAAATATCGAGAGAACAACCTCACGAAGAGGCAAACACAAGTGACACACTAACACTTGTCCCGTAAGTTCTCCACCTAAACACTACTCTCAAGCCCCTATGGCTACATTGTGGATGCTACTGAATGAGAAGGACAAATCTTCAATTTATAGAACTCCAAACCTTTTCCTACAAGAAAAAGGACTAGCCAAGTATAGAAAAATTATAATTTTCTTTCTACAAAAAGGAAAACCCAATTAAGGTAATTATATTGCCCTTTCCTTCAACAAATAGGAAAATCAAATATGGTAAGAAAATTATGGCAAACACCTAACAATTCTCCCCCTTGGCCAGAATTTTCTGACAAAATAAACTTGATCCACCTTTTTCACATAGCCTTCAACAGGTTGCATCTCCAAATCTCCACCACAAAGTTTGTCTCAACGTGCGTAGCATACTGGTCAAATTTCTCAGAAAAAAATCACGATTATCGTCAAATATGTTGCGGCTAGAACAGAACCGCCAAGATGAACCTGTCTTGAACCTCGCTCTGATTCCACTTGTTAGGACCGAAAAATCAGGTGTCATGCAGAATCTAGCAAAGCAAACCTTGAGCGACGATAAATTATACAACAAAGGAGAAATATACCAAAAGAAACACAAACATTTAACGTGGTTCGGTCAACTGACCTACATCCTCAGCGAAGATGAGCAATCCACTATATAAAAAGAGAGTACAAAATATCGAGAGAACAACCTCACAAAGAGGCAAACACAAGTGACACACTAACACTTGTCCCGTATAGTTCTCCCCCTAAATACTACTCTCAACCCTTTATGGCTACATTGTGGATGCTACTGAATGAGAAGGACAAATCTTCAATTTATAGAACTCCAAACCTTTTCCTACAAGAAAAAGGACTAGCCAAGTATAGAAAAATTATAATTTTCTTTCTACAAAAAGGAAAACCCAATTAAGGTAATTATATTGCCCTTTCCTTCAACAAATAGGAAAATCAAATATGGTAAGAAAATTATGGCAAACACCTAACAATTCTCCCCCTTGGCCAGAATTTTCTGACAAAATAAACTTGATCCACCTTTTTCACATAGCCTTCAACAGGTTGCATCTCCAAATCTCCACCACAAAGTTTGTCTCAACGTGCGTAGCATACTGGTCAAATTTCTCAGAAAAAAATCACGATTATCGTCAAATATGTTGCGGCTAGAACAGAACCGCCAAGATGAACCTGTCTTGAACCTCGCTCTGATTCCACTTGTTAGGACCGAAAAATCAGGTGTCATGCAGAAGCTAGCAAAGCAAACCTTGAGCGACGATAAATTATACAACAAAGGAGAAATATACCAAAAGAAACACAAACATTTAACGTGGTTCGGTCAACTGACCTACATCCTCAGCGAAGATGAGCAATCCACTATATAAAAAGAGAGTACAAAATATCGAGAGAACAACCTCACGAAGAGGCAAACACAAGTGATACACTAACACTTGCCCCGTAAAGTTCTCTCCCCTAAATACTACTCTCAAGCCCCTATGGCTACATTGTGGATGCTACTGAATGAGAAGGAGGGATCTTCAATTTATATATAGAACTCCAAACCTTTTCCTACAAGAAAAAAGGACTAGCGAAACATAGGAGAATTATAATTTCTTTCTACAAAAAGGAAACCCAATTAAGGTAAATATATTGCCCTTTCCTTCAACAAATAGGAAAATCAAATATGGTAAAAAAATTATGGCAAACACCTAACAATTCTCCCCTTTAGCCAGAATTTTCTGACAAAATAAACTTGATCCACATTCTTCACATAGCCTTCAACAGGTTGCATCTCCAAATCTCCACCACAAAGTTTGTCTCAACGTGCATAGCACACTGGTCAAATTTCTCAGAAAAAAATCACGATTATCGTCAAATATGTTGCGGCTAGAATTGAACCCGCCAAGATGAACCTGTCTTGAACCTCGCTCTGATTCCACTTGTTAGGACCGAAAAATCAGGTGTCATGCAGATGCTAGCAAAGCAAACCTTGGGCGACGATAAATCATACAACAAAGGAGAAATATACCAAAAGAGACACAAATATTTAATGTGGTTCGGTCAACTAACCTACATCCACGGGGGATATGAGCAATCCACTATATAAAAAGAGAGTACAAAATATCGAGAGAACAACCTCACGAAGAGGCAAACACAAGTGACACACTAACACTTGTCCCGTAAAGTTCTCCCCCTAAACACTACTCTCAAGCCCCTATGGCTACATTGTGGATGTTACTGAATGAGAAGGACAAATCTTTAATTTATAGAACTCCAAACTTTTTCCTACAAGAAAAAGGACTAGCCAAGTATAGGAGAATTATAATTTCTTTCTACAAAAAGAAAAACCCAATTAAGGTAATTATATTGTCCTTTCCTTCAACAAATAGGAAAATCAAATATGGTAAGAAAATTATGGCAAACACCTAACAATTCTCCCCCTTGGCCAGAATTTTCTGACAAAATAAACTTGATCCACCTTCTTCACATAGCCTTTAACAGGTTGCATCTCCAAATCTCCACCACAAAGTTTGTCTCAACGTGCGTAGCACACTGGTCAAATTTCTGAGAAAAAAATCACGATTATCGTCAAATATGTTGCGGCTAGAACTGAACCCGCCAAGATGAACCTCTCTTGAACCTTGCTCTGATTCCACTTGTTAAGACCGAAAAATCAGGTGTCATGCAGAAGCTAGCAAAACAAACCTTGAGCGACGATAAATCATACAACAAAGGAGAAATATACCAAAAGAGACACAAACATTTAACGTGGTTCAGTCAACTGACCTACATCCACGGCGGAGATGGGCAATCCATTATGTAAAAAGAGAGTACAAAATATCGAGAGAACAACCTCATGAAGAGGCAAACACAAGTGACACACTAACACTTGTCCCGTATAGTTCTCCCCCTAAACACTACTCTCAAGCCCCTATGGCTACATTGTGGATGCTACTGAATGAGAAGGAGGGATCTTCAATTTATATATAGAACTCCAAACTTTTTCCTACAAGAAAAAGGACTAGCCAAGTATAGGAGAATTATAATTTCCTTATACAAAAAGGAAAACCCAATTAAGGTAATTATATTGCCCTTTCCTTCAACAAATAGGAAAACCAAATATGGTAAGAAAATTATGACAAACACCTAACAATTCTCTCCCTTGGCTAGAATTTTCTGACAAAATAAACTTGATCCACCTTCTTCACATAACCTTCAACAGGTTGTATCTCCAAATCTCCACCACAAAGTTTGTCTCAACGTGCGTAGCACACTGGTCAAATTTCTCAGAAAAAATTACGATTATCGTCAAATATGTTGCGGCTAGAACTGAACCCGCCAAGATGAACCTGTCTTGAACCTTGCTCTGATTCCACTTGTTAGGACCGAAAAATCAGGTGTCATGCAGAAGCTAGCAAAGCAAACCTTGAGCGACGATAAATCATACAACAAAGGAGAAATATACCAAAAGAGACACAAACATTTAACGTGGTTCGGTCAATTGACCTACATCCACGGCGGAGATGAGCAATCTACTATATAAAAAGAGAGTACAAAATATCGAGAGAACAACCTCACGAAGAGGCAAACACAAGTGACACACTAACACTTGTCCCGTAAAGTTCTTCCCATAATCACTACTCTGAAGCCCCTATGGCTACATTGTGGATGCTACTGAATGAGAAGGAGGGATATTCAATTTATAGAACTCCAAACTTTTTCCTACAAGAAAAAGGACTAGCCAAGTATAGGAGAATTATAATTTTCTTCTACAAAAAGGAAAATCCAATTAAGGTAATTATATTGCCCTTTCCTTCAACAAATAGGAAAACCAAATATGGTAAGAAAATTATGGAAAACACCTAATAATTTCTAGCAAAACCAAATAGTTCATTAGCGGGACCACAACAAAGATAGTGAAATTGCATCTTAGTTATTCCAAATGGCCCGTTGATACCAATGTGAGCATGTGTCACAGCCTACTCAACTGCAAGTATTTTTGGTGTAATCAAAGTTCTAACATACTTGAGACATGCATGCGCTGCAGAATCCCTTAAAAAGGCAGTACAGTGCACTAAGCTTCTGCTATGTTCGAGGTTCGGGAAGGGTCGGACCACAAGGGACTATGCAACGATTACTGTATATTTCTGCAAGAGACTGTTTCCATGATTCGAATTCGTAACCTCCTAGTCATATGATAACAACTTTATAAGTTACGCCAAGGCTCCCCTTAGAATCCTTTATTTCTCGAAAAAGTTGGCAGTCACAATTATCAACAAGTACCACCAGTATATATCTCGACAACCTTCAAGTGAACAAATCTCCATCAATTTAGTGGCTTGAAGGTGGTTTTCCAAAGATAAGAAGCTTACAAGACCCATTTTGATGGCAACAAAAATTTCCAGTTGAGTCTTATTGCATTTTGATAGTCTCAAATATGGTAAGATCAAATCTGCCATTAAGCTTGTTCTGAAGGCGTACCAACAAATCTTTCTTCTCCGAAACTGCAATTTCAAATCAATGAAGTGGTTGAGAACCATGAGGTTTGAAGTTCAAATTCTAACGGATGCAAAAACATTAAGTGATTTCTTCTTATATGTCCAAACCTTGGTGGCAGAGTTACTTGGTACTTGTTTCTGGTGGGACATGTATCTCGTGGAATTAGTCGAGGTGCACGCAAGTGGGCTCGGACACCATCCTTATAAAAAAAATTGCAATTAGGCTTCTCAAGGATTTCTTTATCGATTCAACTGTGCTATCAGAAAGCTCTTGCAAAATCTGAGTCATAAGAGAAATAAACTCTGAAACTATTTGCCTAAGGATTCTCTCAAGCCAAGAAAGTTGAAGTTCTGTTCCTCCCTCCATACTTCCTGAAACTATCGAATTCTCCTGATTCAGCATCAATTGTTGGCAACTCGAATAGAAAAAATGAATTGCTATATGAGCTACTAATGATAGAGTATAATCTTAAGAACTGTATTTGATTAATTGATTTTGTATAATGTAGAATTTGATTCTTAAAATATTTTTGTATAATATGATCAGATATTGTTTTGCGTAATATTTTTTTATAATTAGAGGATCAGATATGATTTGGTGTACATATATATAAATAGTTGTATTAAAAATGCAAAACTCAAGCCATTCTAATTACTCTCTTTACATCTTTCTACATGGTATCAGAGTAGCCACAGTGATCCTTTACCTTCCAAACTCCATTTTTTTCTCTGTTTTCCCCTTCAATTTAAATCTAAACCTCCACTCCTTACTTAACTATTTTTCTTTCTTTCTATTCCATCTCCAATCATGTGCTCTGAAGCTTCTCCCTTATATTTCTTCTACTCAAATCTTCAATGTCAATTATATGGTTGCTATTCCCAACATCAAAAGTTTGGTTAAAGTTGTTCTTGACTTGAACAATTACTTGCTCCGGCGACATAGTTTTTTCAATTCTCTCCTATTGTACAATCTTATATGGCCTGTTGATGGTTCCTCTCCCTCCCTTTTTGCTATATCAAAAATTAGGGGTGGGTATAAAATCCGAAAAACTGAATTCCGAATCGAACCGAATTAATTTGGTATTTCGGTTTCGATTTTTTCGGTATTTCGGTACAGAAATTGAATTATTGATATTTCGATAAATACCGAAATAGTTTAACGAGGTGAGATTAATATTTGGGTGTCCCTGTCATTAACTAGCAAAATCTGCCTGATTACATTTGACAAATGGAAATTTCCATTATGACGTTGCGGTATTTGTCTTTAGAATATCTAATTGTCAAATGTTGAAGCCTTCCTAATAGTTCCATTAGTCTCAGTCACATACGCAAATCCACTTTATAGAGTAGTTGTTGGTTGTTACGCTAATGGAGTAGTTAGTTGTATTCCCATCGACAATTTTTTCAAACACTATATATATATATATATATTTCAGTTGATCGATTATCCCATCACAAATTCGACATGGATTCTCCTGTGTTACATGAATTCAGAAGGCAGGCTTCCTTGTTCCTCAGAGAGAAAATCAGGACTGCTCGACTGGCTCTTACAGATGTTACTCCTCCTCAACTGTAACTTTTTTTGAAAACTAACTTTCATTGATTTATCTTTTCAGTCAGTTTCTTCTTACTTATCATTTTTGTATTAAAGGCTGGCAGAAGAAGCAACAAATGGAGATTTGAGTGCACCAAATATGCAAACCATGAGACTAATATCACGTGCAGCCTTTGAAGCTGATGATTATTGGAGGATCGCTGATATTCTGCATAAGAGGTTTGTATGGCCAGGCCTATATTATTTGTACTTAAATTGCCTGGATCAAGAAAAAGAAAGCACAATATTAGAGTAATTGAAGGTAAAATAATGTTGGCGCCAGATTTTGCTAGTTAATGGAGGGGGAGACGGTGAAGATTTGGTTTAAATTGAAACCGTACCGAAATAGTATCGAACCAAAATAAGAAATACCGAACCGTACCGAAATATTATGGTACGGTATTTGGTATATACAATTGATAAACCGAATACCGAACCGAAATTCTTAAATACCGAACCGAAATACCAAAAGCCCACCCCTATAAAAAATAACCCAGATTCTACTATATATAAGTTTAAAAAAGAGTTATGTAAAGAGTTATGTTACACCTAATAGATTATATATAAGTTTAAAAAAGAGTTATGTAAAGTGAAAAACTTTGATTTCTTTCTTAAATAAATATAGAGAAGAAGGATTTGTAACAACTATGATTTCTACTAAGGAAATTGCACTTGAAATGAATATCGAACCCGAATTTCGTAAGAAACGTGTGATATATAGCAAGTCACAATTTGATGCGAATGTTGATAATGAAATCTCAAAATCTTTCGAATAATTCTTTAGAGTTGATTACTTTTATACATAATAGACAAGACTATTTTTTCTTTTCAAAATAGAATTGAACAATTCAAAACATATGAAAATATTTTTGGTTTTCTATTTGGCAGTAAAAATTAAGATCACTAGGTATTGGAAATTTGAAAAATATATTGCCTAAATCTTGAATGTTCCTTAAAGCATAATAATCAATTCGATATTGATGGTCTAGATTTATTTTTTGAATCAAAAGTATTAAGAAAATAGTACAATTAGAAGATAACAATTTAATTGATACACTTAATCAACTAAAAAGATTTAATTTTTTTCCAAATGCCTACATTACTTATGGAATAGTGTTCATAATTCATGTTACTGTTGCTTGAGCGGAAAGAAGTTTCCAAAATTAAAATTGATAAAATCTTACCTAAGAACAACAATGCCACAAGAAAGGTTAAATGGATTAGCTATATTGTCAATTGAAAAATACTAATTAGGAGTTATTGATTAAAAATAACTTTGTATCTAAGAAAATCAAAAAAATAAAAATAAACTTCAAATAAATAATTAAAAAAAATTAAAAAGTTAATGCTCCTCCTAAAGTTTGGCTTTAGGCCACAAAATTCATTGGCCGTCCATGCCTAGATCAATGGCTTCATGAAGATGCCATTGATCTTCTTTGGATAAATGCCACTATCTCTGTTGAAGTTCTCCAACAAATCTTTGATCCCACTTCTGAACTCATTGCCAAAGAAACATGGGAATCCATCCATAAGTTATTTCTGGATTATTATGCATCGGTCAGCCAACTTCAAATCAAGATTGAAATGTGGAATTTGAGTAAGGAATCCATGTCTATGTATGCCTTTCTTCAAAAGTTCAAGCACTTGAGAGACTCTCTCCTCGCTCTTGGTGTTTCTCAAACCATTGATGAATTTGTGCAATAATTGTTGAATAATCTTCCAACTGAATATGATCCTTTGGTGGCTAATGTTCTTTCTCAATCACCGCTGCCTTCATTTGAGAGGACTCGAACTCTTCTTCTCGCCCATGAAACTCGCATCACCTCTCGCAACACTACAGATGATGAACTTCAGTCTACTGCTCTAGTCTCTCATCGTGGTCGTGGTTCTTTTAAAGGTCATGGTCGTGGTCGCAATTCTTCTAATGGTCGTGGCTCTCAGCAACAGTTTACTCGTTCCCATGGTTCTTCCTCTTTTCAGCCACAACGACAATCTTATGCTCAACAGATGCTTTCTTCGTCTACAACATACCAACAACCACTTGTTGCCCCTACTCCAGGCATTTTAGGTGCTGCTTCTGTCGCCGTTCAATGTCAGTTGTGCGACGAATTTGGTCACACTACTCGGAACTGTTGTACAAATTCTTCAGCTAGTGCAAATGCTATCGTACTCTCTCATTCTCTTGCTACAATAAAAATTGATGACACTATCTGCTATCCGTACACTGGCGCTTCCGCTCATTTGTCTTCTAACTCTAGTATACTTCATTCTCCTCCATACTTTGGTTCTGACAAAATTTTCATTGGTGATGGTTCCTTAATAAAGCTGTTGGTAATTCTATCCTTCACACTGCCTTGCGCACCTTCAAACTAAATGATGTTCTTCATGTTCCTTCGCTTCGTGCTAATCTTCTTTCTATTAATTATAAGTTTTGTAAGGATAATCACTGTATCTTTGAATTTTCTGACTCTGGTTTTTGTGTGAAGTAAATGGTGATGGGAAAATACTTTTTCAGTCTAGTAGTACGGGTCCTCTCTATCCCATATCTTCTAAAGATGCTACTGTCTCCTCCGGTATTCATGCATATGTTACAAGTCGAGTTAGTCCAGAACGTTGGCATAAGCGTCTTGCTCATGCGGGTCAGTCAGTTTTATCATTTTTGATTCGTAATAAGTTTCTTTCATGTTCTCAATAAAAATTTAACTTTGCGCCATGTAATTCTTGTGCCTTGGGCAAACATCATAAGTTACCATTTCAATTATCGCAATCCTTGTCTCATTCTCCTTTTGAGGTGATTCATAGCGATGTATGGCGCTCCCATATATCCGGGAGAAATTCAAAAATAGCTAGATTTACAACTGGTTGTTCAAAAATAGTCCAGTTTCAAAAGTAATCGAAATTTAGCCATTTTTCATGTAAAGATAAATTTGAACGAAAACACTGTTCAAAACCCGGAAAATACGCCAGTATATTATGCTGGAGTTCCAGCATAAGTATACTTGAACTCCAGCATATTATACTGGAGTTCCAGGATAAGTATGCTGGAACTCCAGCATATTATACTGGAGTTCCAGGATAAGTATGCTGGAACTCCAGCATATTATACTGGAGTTCCAGGATAAGTATGCTGGAACTCCAGCATATTATACTGGAGTTCCAGGATAAGTATGCTGGAACTCCAGCATATTATACTGGAGTTCCAGGATAAGTATGCTGGAACTCCAGCATATTATACTGGAGTTCCAGGATAAGTATGCTGGAACTCCAGCATATTATACTGGAGTTCCAGGATAAGTATGCTGGAACTCCAGCATATTATACTGGAGTTCCAGGATAAGTATGCTGGAACTCCAGCATATTATACTGGAGTTCCAGGATAAGTATGCTGGAACTCCAGCATATTATACTGGAGTTCCAGGATAAGTATGCTGGAACTCCAGCATATTATACTGGAGTTCCAGGATAAGTATGCTGGAACTCCAGCATATTATACTGGAGTTCCAGGATAAGTATGCTGGAACTCCAGCATATTATACTGGAGTTCCAGGATAAGTATGCTGGAACTCCAGCATATTATACTGGAGTTCCAGGATAAGTATGCTGGAACTCCAGCATATTATACTGGAGTTCCAGGATAAGTATGCTGGAACTCCAGCATATTATACTGGAGTTCCAGGATAAGTATGCTGGAACTCCAGCATATTATACTGGAGTTCCAGGATAAGTATGCTGGAACTCCAGCATATTATACTGGAGTTCCAGGATAAGTATGCTGGAACTCCAGCATAATATGATGGAGTTCCAGCATAAGTACACTAAAACTCCAACATAATATACTAGAATTCTAGCAAGTATACCGGTCCAACATAATATACTGGAGTTTGGAGCACCGGTGCTCCAGTCTCCAGTATATTATACCGGAGCCAACAAAGTATATCGGTCCATCATAATATGCTGGAGTTCATACACAGGTGCACCGAACTCCAGTATATTATGCTGGACCGGTCTCTGTTGCAGCAAAATAGTGGCTATTTTTCATTGACTTGATAAACGTTGGTTATTTTTGAATGACCAGTCCGAAAACTGGCTATACCATACTATTTTTACCGTATATCCTCAGTGTTGGGTTTTCATTACTATGTGATATTTTTAGATGACTTTTCCCGATATTGTTGGCATTATCCTCTTAAGAAGAAATCTAATATTTTTCCGGCTTCTTAAAAATTTCATGCCATGGTCAAAAATATATTTGATGCACATATCAAATACTTCCAATCTGATGAAGGTGGGGAATATGTCAACTTTCACTTTCAATCCTTCTTTGATAAACATGGAATACTTCCTCGTCTTAGTTGTCCCCATACACCGGAAGAAAACGGTGTAGTTGAGGGAAAACACGATTATCTCATAGATACAACATGCACTTTGTTATTCCAAGCTGGGTTACTTGCCTCTTTTTGGCTTGAAGCTCTGAATTTTTCTATTTTTGTTATTAACATGTTGGCTGTACATCAGTTTAAATATCAGTCTCATTTTGAGCGGCTCTACAATAAGTCACCTGATTTTTCTTATCTCCGTACATTTAGTTGTCTATGCTACCACCAATCTCACTGCCATTGTTCCACATAAACTTTTTCTTCCTTCAGCTGCATGTGTCTTTTTAGGATACTCGAAAGGTTACAAAGGGTTTCGGTGTTATGATCCTTGTACTAAGTATGTTTATATATTTACTTTTCATGAAGATGTCTTCCCTCTTAGTAACTGTCACGACCTGATCCCTGAACCCGGTCGTGATGACACCTCTCGTGAAGACAAGGCCAGCCAGACCAAAACGGAACACCTCTTTTAAACAGTTAATCATCATAAACAGTAATAACATATAATATAATGCTCATAAATTGCGGAATTTAACGATAATAACAGCAGGAACCATCCCGACACAGCCCAAACCGGGGTGTCACAAGTCATGAGCTACTACAGAATCTACTATAGGTCTACAAAGTACGGAATCCGATACAACAATTTGAAGAAAACATAAATGATAGAGGATAAGAGAGTCAAGGGGCTGCGGACGCCAACAGCTACCTCGTAACTCCAAATCACTGCCTAGCCTGGAAGGAATCAGCGGTCAGGTGCGGACTCTGCTATACCTGAATCTGCACACATGGTGCAGGGAGTAATGTGAGTACTACGACTCAGTGAGTAATAATTAAAAATAATGGCTGAAAGTATGAAAACACGTAAAGGCATNACAAAAATGACCGCGGTCCGCGCAAAACCAGCAGGGTCCGCGCAAAAACGACCGCGGCCGCGCAGGTCTTTCTCTACAGGTATAAGCTTTAGTAGTTTGGCCATAACTTTCGCTACAGATGTCCAAATTGCGATATCTTTACCTTTTTGGAAACTAGATACGCCGGGCTACAACTTTTGTTTTTGAATCACCTCAAAATTCTTTGTGGATCAAAAGATATGAGCTTACGAAGTAGGACCAGCAACCTACAGTCTTCACGACCGC